TAGCTCGGTCCTCGGGGTGCATGAAGATCTGATGGTATCCCGAGAATGCGTCCATGAAACTGAGCAGAGCATGCCCGCTTGTCGAGTCGACCAGTTGGTCGATCCTCGGCAGCGGATAGGAGTCCTTGGGACATGCCCTATTCAGGTCCGTGAAGTCAACGCACATCCTCCAGTTACCATTTGCCTTCTGAACCATTACAACATTGGCCAGCCACTCCGGATACTGACAGGGTTCAATGAACCCAGCATCTAGGAGCTTATCGACCTCAGCTGCGATGTTCTGGTTCTTTTCGGCGGAGTAGTTCCGCTTTTTCTGCTTAATGGGTCGACTGGAGGGGTCGACATTAAGCCTATGGGAGACGAAGTCCGGATCAATCCCGGGCATTTCTGCGGCTGAGAAGGCGAACACGTCTCCACTGGCCCGTAGGAGTTGGACGAGTGCCGCACGGGTGTTTGGCTCCAGTGACGACCCGATGCTAACACATCTGTTCGGATCTCCTACGGTCAGTTCTATTGACTCGGTCAGGTCATCCGTCTCCATGCTCTTAGAGTTGGATTCCTCGAATTCCGGCCTGCTATCAATATTAGCAGACTTTCCTGACCGCGGCTGGCCATCAGAGTCGTTCGGCTCTGAGGCGGAGTCAGCCCTTTGGCCCCCATCAGATTTCTCGTTGTCTGGGGCTTCATTAGCCGAAACGTCTGAGCCTCTCGGCTTTTTGGCGTTTCGGTCCCGGTGCTTTTCCTCCCCATCGCCACGGTCGCCTCGGCGAGACGTGGATGGCTTGAGGTGATTGCATCGGCGGGCTTCTTTTTGACTGCCCTTTATTTTCTCGGAGCGTCCCTCGTCTGAAACGTATATCATGATTTGATGATACGTGGAGACGACTCCTTGAATGCCGTGAATGAGGGGTCTCCCCATGATCACGTTGTATGCAGATGGAGCATCTACGACCAAAAATTCGGCCATGATATTCCTAGCTGCTCGGCCTTCGCCGATGGTGACAGGAAGTGTAATCTTCCCGTCAGGATACGAGGAAGAGCCGTTGAATCCAGACACCGGGTAGGGTGCGGGGGCCAGGTGCTCGGCTCCCATCCTCAGCTGGTCGAACGCTCCTCGGAAGAGGATGTTCGCCCCGCTACCGCCGTCGACGAGGGTCCGCCAGACGTTGCGGTTGGCGATGCCCAGAATGATTACTAGTGGGTCATCGTGGGGGTATACCACCCCCTCACAGTCTTCGGCTGTGAACAGGATGTTCGGCGCCGGTGACTGGGACTGCCGAAGCTCAGCCTGATGAATCTGATGGGTTAGACCCCTCAGTTGGCGTTTGGCTGTGCCTCGCGAGATTCCCCTGGAAATAACTAGGATGTCGAGGGACTCCTTGCCCTGAGGTCCCTTATCCTTCTTCCGAGCGAAGTTGAGGTCCTGCCGAGAATCTTTTTCAGCTTTTTTCTCCTCGCGCCTGTCCGCGAGGTATTGGCTCAGGTACCCCTTGCGGACCAGATCCTCAATCTGGTCCTTCAGCTGGACGCAGTCCTCGGTGCGATGTCCGGGTGAGTCATGGAACTCGCACCACTGGTCCTTTCCCCTCGTCTGATGCCAGGGAGGCAACGGACGAGGTTTTTTGAATCTCCCCTCGTCCTTCGTCGTGCTGAAAATCTTAGCACGGGGAAGGGAGAGTGGAGTGTATGAATCGTACCTTCCCGTGTAGGGAAAGTGTCTTTCCTTCTTCGGCTCGGCAGCAGAGGACGGTTCTGAGGCCTTAGCCTTCCCTTTCCTCTGCGCCGAGACTTCGGGCTGCTGCCCTTTCGGCTTCTCAATTCTCGGACGAGACTGAGACCTGGATCTGTTCCACTCCTCGGCTCGGATGAACCTATCCGATGCTTCCAAGGCTTCCTCCAGGGTCTGCGGGGGATGCATGACCATGAAGTCCAGGAACTTTCCAGCTTGGAGGCCGTTCCGTAGCGCGAACACGGCCAGGCCTTGATCCAGGCTTGTGATTCCGGATGACTCGTTGCTGAAGCGAGTCAGATAGTCGCGGAGGCTCTCGTCCTCCGCCTGCTGCAGACTCATTAGCTCTGCAGTGGTCTTCTCTCGGCGGTTGGCCGTAGAGAATTTGCTCTTGAACTTGTTGGAGAGGTCGTTCCAACCGGTTATGGAGCCTTCCTTGAGCCCTTTGGTGATCCAGGATTGGGCAACACCTTGAGGGTCGTAGGAAAGTATTTACACCAGGTAGCCTCAGACCTCGGGTTCAGATACATGTGCCCCTCGTAAGAGGCAATGTGATCCTTAGGATCTGAGGTACCATCGTAAGTAATATGTGCCGGGATTTTGACCGTTGGCACATGCTCTTCCAGAATCCACTTCTGGAAGGGCGAGTTCGATGGAACCATGACCGCCTTCCCCTTGTACCCGGCCTCAGGGACCTCGCTCCCTCCTCTCTCAGAGGTGGAAGTGGTTTTCGTCCCCGGCTGAGACAAGGTTGGGTGGGGTCCGGTATCCTCTGGGAAGGTGAGGCGGCTATGCACACTCACCTCCCTCGAACCCAAGCGTTCGTGAACGCTTTGGCGGGCGAATTCCGGGTCCTTGGAGGGCCCCATGGAATTCTGAGCTTCGGAGTGGTCAGAGGGTTGAGGGTTCCTCCTCCTCTCCTTACTGGAGTTTCGGGTGTCCCCTCGCCACCTCTGGCCGAGCTCTCTATGTGGTGGAACTTGTCCACCATCATCCTGACCGATCCTCCTTTTCAGGCTTCTCGGCTGGTGATCATCAGGCATCTGGATTGGAGCCCCTTGAGCTTTAAGGAACTCCATGCAGATGGCCACTGCTCTGGCCACTTCCTCGGTGGAGGGTCCGGAGGGAGGAGTCTCCCGCGGATGTGACCTGGATTGCACGCTATGGCGCGGCGGGGAGTTCCTCGCACCTGAGCCACTCGGTCTCGGGGATGGCCCCGGCTGCCGAGTGTGGTGCGAGGTGTTCTCCTCCTGGAGGCTAGGACCTCTTGAGGCTTCCCTTTCCGGAGAAATGGGGGCCTCCGATTCGGAAGAGGCTTGCTCCGGGGAGGGATAAACCGGCTGGCGTTCCCTCACCGTAATCCGGCCTCCTCCCTTCTTAGCCTTCTTGGAACTCTTTCCACTCTTAGTCATGGCGACTGCCGGAGTGTTTGATGACTGACGCGAAATTTAGTAGCGTTCCCCACAGACGGCGCCAAATTGTTTCGGATGAAAACAATCGAATCTCGGAAGATCCTTTTATCTTGAGGGAACTTGGTCTCGGTCCGAACAACGCAGGAGCCGAGGGTTTCCTGCACAACAAATACACGTAAACTAGCCTCGGGGGGGACGCCGAGGAAGGCCCCTCCGATGCTTAAGTCAGTATATTAGAGAGAGAAAGCTGTGCAAGAGTTTAGTTGCTTGAGGCTTTATTGTCTTACCAAGAATTGACCAAATTGTTGGCTTTTATACCTTGGCTAATGAAGGAGGCGGATTGGGCCCGGAAGTCAGTTGGGCTGGGCCAAGCTGATTGGGCCGTTGACTGACCTTGACATGGCTTTGAGGATGTTTGATTTTTGACTTTAGCACATTTGGAGAGTTGAACCTTAACCTTGGGCTTTTAATTGGATCATTCAGTGACCAGGCCCAATTGGACTAAATTGGACCCAAACAAAAAGTAAATGAAAAAGGTGCCCAAAATGCGTCTACCAAACATCCTCAATGATGCTTATGCATCGACTAAATATTAAAAACAAGAACATGTGTATACTTGGTGAATAAAACATTAGGTTGGATTTGAAAACTTTATTTGAAGACAAAATTAGGAGAAATGAAAAACGTTATTTATGGATGAGAGAAGTATGATTCACCTAAACGAAGTTGTAATTCTTTGTCGTCCACATAAGCAATTCAACCCATGTATTAGGCTATATTTAGTTTAATCTAAGCGAATCTCAGCTTATTTTAGAAATTAATTATCACATCAAATCAGGTTTTCTTTAGCTTTTACTTATCTCTAGTTTTGCTATTAAATAAATCATGAAAATTTTATATTTGGAAAAATACATATAACTGACATATAGAATAGACCAGATGTTAGAGCAGGATCGACCAACTTCACTCTATATTAATATGATATTATTATCCGCTTTGGGTCTATCCCGAACATTTTTTTTATGCACCTTCTCAAAAGGTATTATGCTAATGGAGTAGATGAACATTTTTACAATGTAAGGAACACATAACTCATAGTCTCCCTTATAGCGAAACCATCTTACACTGCCACAACACTGCAAAAGACTTGTACGGAGTACTCAACAACATCCAGTCACACCATTCTACACCTGCGTGTTCGCCAAGCCATCAACTCTTGTACCAGTTGTTTTGCTTTGGGCCTATCTCACACAAATTAGTTTTTGGGCACCATTCCAAAAACCTCATACTAATGGAGTAGGTAGACAATTATATGGAGTAAACAAATAAACACTTCCTTATCTTTTTATACGTGGGACTTATATTGCATACCCTAAAATCAGAAAGCAACCGAAAAGATCGATTAAATTGACGCAACGTTATCAAGAACATGATGTAGGTCTAATATATTATACATACGAGACTTATATTTTGTAGCCATACTAAATTTGGCTCGTCTAATTCTATACTAATATATTAAAAGACGTTTCTAAGAACGTCTATGTGCCATGTATATCCCCATATTTTGCCACGTCACTTAGTCAACTTTTCAATATGGCAGAAGGTTCGAACACTTGACCTCATAGAAGAAAAGTTATTGTATAACCATTTAGGCTAATTGTTAATTATGCTTTAACATTGCACAATAAATAATATTATGCTATAAAGTATTGAAGACACATTCTACATATAAACTATTAGATACTCTTACAAATTAGCAATTGCACAACTATAAAAGTAGTAACCCGAGACAACGCCCGGACTACTCCCTAGTTTATGCATTAACAAGCGTGCCCATCAGTGCAATCACACCTTACTATTATTGCGTATTGCTCCGTATGAAACTAGTAACAAGAGTAAAAACCGAGAGAACACATATGGTTGCTTGGTTGGGAATTCACTAGTCGGCACCCGCTGAATCTCTGCATTCTCAGAGCAAGAAAGAGCCTTAAAGTCCGAACAAGTCTACTCATTTAAAAGGTTTTTTTGCATTTTGATTCAATTTAATTGCTACTAAAATTATAATACTCGCGTTAACATTTCTAATCTCTGAATTTTTTTTTTTTTTTTTTTTTTTTTTTTTGAAAAGCTCTAATTTCTGATTTTTGAATATAATCTAAACCCCAGATGTTGAATCATTGGTCAATCTTGTTGTTTATGGTAATTTCATGCTGTATTCGGGTTTCTTATGCTAGTGCTGGTGATGCCGATCCACTTTACAGGTACCCCTAATCTTAATTTTTTTTATTTTTTATTTTTTTTCCTGTCAATTTCATTCTCCACTTTTTATTTGGATTTATTTCAGCTTAATTATACAATGAAAACCCTTTAATTGCTTAAGTTGTATGATTTTTTGATTAAGGTGTCAGAACAGTTGTAATGTTGATATAATTCTCGCCATTGCAATTGTCTGGTTATTTTGATGCAACTTACAGATGATGCGATTGTGAAAATTCTAACTTTGTGTTGAAATTTGCAGAACTGTAAAAAAGTTTGGAAGTATGAGATAGAGATCCTATCGTTTTGATATTGCTCGTCGTTTTCTTCGTCTTCACTTGAAAACTAGAAATGGGTTATCAAGTTGTAGTTAATTGATATATGTTATTCTTGTATGAAATGTGCTCTATTTTTCACTTCCTTTGACGATGTTTTCCTGATGAACTGTTTGTAACTTTGATCAAACCTTTGAATTATGTAATGTTTAACTTAATAATGATGGTTTGAGAACATAAAGGTAATACAGGATTTTTGGGGTGGTAGTGCTGGTAATGGGTAATTGAGGTGCTTGGTTCTTCTTTTGCTAGGGATTTATTGTGTGGGATGAGGAAGAAACTAGGTCAAATGGGCAATGTTATGAAGTAGGGTTATTGTGGGAGGAGTAAGAGCTAATAGCGCCTTGGTTTTTGTTTGAATGTTTTAGTGAGGAAATGGTTGAAGATCAGGTTTGTGCTTTTAAGGGTGGTGGATGATGTGGTTTTAGATATTGGCGAGGGTGACTGTGGCTCTTGGTCGAGTTTGTCTAAAGATGGGGATGGTAATTCTGGTAGGTTGGTTGGTTTTTTAGGAGATAGTAGTCTAGGGCTTCTGAATCCTCATGATAAGCCCCTTAGGACCACAATAAAGTTTGAGGGTGACGTGCTGTATAAAGTGGTTGGTGAGGAGGTGCATAAGATGTATTATTTGTAGTGCCTTTGTGGCGGAACATATTGTGTGAAGTACAGAATTATATGTGTGCAAAGCTCTATAAAATGCGCTTTAGGGCCCATCAGGACACCTTCTCAATAATTACATTGATTAATAAAATTCAGGGTTCTGATAATTTGAAACAAGCTGGCCCGAAGGAGGGTCTTGGACTAGGAAGCAGTGCAGTTTCATACCTTTATTTATACAAGTAATAACTTGTACTAAGGAAGTAGAGGCTCAGAATGTTAGTTTTCATAGTCAGGTTTCCTTTTTTGATGACTCTAGTATAAGGCTATTGTGTATAACACTGGAGGTAAAGCTGTAAAGGTAAGAGAGGAAGCATCAAATTAATCCATTTATCTCTTCTAGAGTTTCTGGAAATCTTGGGACTGATTCTTTCTATGATAGTGATGATTCTCTTTGTATGAAGTGGGATTGCTTCATTGTTTACTGTTGGAAAAACTAAGAATCATACATGCCTCTGGAACGCAATTGGTGACAATAATACTGTATTCTAGTTTCATGTGCAACTATTTTGGATTTTCCTTTAATTGTAGATAGCCTGTATGCTTTTATGTATTTTTTCTTCTCTTATCTGGAATGTTGCATGTCCTATGTATTCCTTCATCAACCTTATCTTTTGGGCTTGTTTGCAGGTCTTGTGTGAATCAGTGCATAAGCAGTGGGTGTATTGGTGAGAAATGCTTTCCACAATGCAATTCTTCTTCTGATGGTGGTTCAGTCCACAATCCATGGTACACGCAAGAACCTCTTTACTTGAAATGGAAACAATCTGATTGCCTCAGCAATTGCCGCTACTATTGCATGATTGACAGAGAAAGAGAAAGACAATCACTTGGTCTTGAACCTGTTAAATATCATGGAAAATGGCCTTTCACACGTGTACTGGGACTTCAGGTTTGTCATACACTCATACTGTTAAGTTTGTAGATAATCTTTGTATAAATTGTGCACTCAGTAAACCTGCTTGAACAACAAAAATTCTGGTCATAACTTGATTTTCCTCATTTATGTCTGGCTTATCCATTGTCAGCAGTTTATTTTTGCAGGAACCTGTTTCAGTGGCGCTATCTATCCTCAACCTCTTAATGCATTTCAGTGGTTGGCTTTCCTTTTACATCCTTCTACAATATAAGCTTCCGCTAAAGCAAGATGGAACTTATTATGAATACACCAATTTGTGGCATATCTATGGCTTCCTATCCCTTAATTCTTGGTTCTGGAGTGCTGTTTTCCACAGCCGGTAAGTTTTTTTCTTAAAATTAATTCAAGCCATCTTTTTGAATTTGTTCATTGAACATATCGATAATCCATAAGAAAAGTGGGAAGCAAAAGTCCTTTATTCTTGGTCATCTTCAAGAAGTTTTTTTTTTCTTTTTCTTTATCCTGACTGGGTGATGCCTGCAATCTCAGCAGCGAACTCTTTATCCATGTTAGGTTTGAACATTTTGAAATGGTTAAAATTAATAACTTTACCTCTGGAAGTGGGCGGGCACAGGATGCCTCAATAGTTTCCAGGCAACAAACCTAATTTCATATTACCTAATGACTTTCTGTTTCATCATCATTTCTAGGCCTCTCAGATCTATCTTGTGATTGTGTGGGAGTATCATTTGAGGCCAGGAAGTCATGGTGCATGAAGTAGTGCTTCAGTGAAAGTTAAATGCACTTGGATTTTCATTTTCTGGATTTTTAAATAACAAGGGAAAAGAGTCTTTTAGTCTGTTGATTTGTTCTTCAGGACCGATATATATCTTGTAGGAGCTGATTCTATATTTTGGCTGATTGATATAGTCCAAATGATTTGAAGCATGGAGTAAGAAGGAAAATTTAGAACTAGCTAATATCCTAATTTGAACAGAAAAGTTGAAGATTAGGCAGGGCATGAATATCAGTAGTACAGCCATGTATAACAACCACTACTGCTGCCTTATATATTATCTACTAAAGAACTAAAGCAGGGTCTAGGGAAGTCAAGATGTATGTAGCCTTATCATTAAGCAAGCAAGGCTCATTTTAAACTTTTAGTGAACCAAAGTTTCTTTTCTTGAGTATCCTAACATAACCAGCTGTCAACTGTAGCAACTACTTTCATATTGAGGTTGAATTACATTTCTTAATTCCTCCAGTTTTTTCGTGCACTCCCCGGGTCATGGGGTTGAATTGCGTACAATAACTACAATTACTTTTAGATATTTGTGAAGATGCACGAGTGGTGTATTGAATAGTTATTAAGCAACTTGTCTAATTCGTAGCTCTTATGAAGTTATGCTGTGTAACTATTATAGAACCTCTAAAGTGCTGGGTTCTCTGGGGTATTGCTCTTTGGTGCATTATTATAAACATAGCTGTTTTTTACGCACTCTCTTTTTTAGGACTAAAAGTAATGTTTTTCCTATTATTCTCAAAGACAAAAACTGATCAATATGGGTTTTTGAATTGCAGAGACATTGATTTAACAGAGAAGCTTGATTACTCATCTGCAGTGGCTATACTTGGGTATTCACTCATTGTTTCAATAATGAGAAGTTTCCGTGTTCGAGATGAGGCTGCTAGAGTCATGGTGGCTGCTCCACTTCTGGCTTTCATAGCCACTCACACAATGTACCTGAACAACTACAAAATGGATTATGGTAAGATAGACTCAATATCTTACTAAAAGTGGTCTGCCTTAAGAATTGCATGCAATGGTGATGCTTCACTCTATAGGTTAAATATACTCATTACATAAGTTAGCTCCAGCTTCAGGGTCCTTAATTTATTATAAATGTGAAAAAAGCTGAAGTGTGCAAGTCAACATTTTGCCTATCATCGTAAAGGACCACATAGTAATGATATCATATGAGCAATCTAACTTACTTCGTTTTATTACAGAAACCTTGTCATTTCCTTTTGTTGTCAAAGCGGGTACACTAATTCATCAGTAGCTTAAAAGTTGAAATGACTTGGAACTCATTTTAATTGATTAGGAATCAGGTTTTAGTTGGATCCAAATACTTACTATGTTGATGTGTTGAGCTTGAGCTGGCTTTTGAAAAGAAAAAAAACTCTAGCTAGCTACTGCTTCATTTGATCTTGTAGCTTTACCCATGGATAATTGTGGATTTGAGGTCGATTTTCTTGGATAGAGTTGATGCATAGAGATGATTAATACACGCCAATCCTATTGTAGCTTTATTCAACTGTATTTAGTTGAAGATGATGGTTTTTTTCTGCTCTCCCTGTGCTGAAGTCCAAACTAGCAATATATTATTTCTTGGATAGCACCTGGCAAAGATAAGCTACGTAACAAATTTACAATGCCTTCATTTTACAAACTATAATTGAACTAGATAATATTCTTTTGTAGCATCATAGATCTATGCGAGAATGTTTTGCCTTTATTTCTATATTCTTATGCTGTCCATCAGTCCATGGGAGAAGGGTAGACCAGAAAAAACACCATGGTACATTTAAAAGATTTGTAAAGAATGGATAAAATAGTCATTTTAGAAGTACCTACTTTTTACTATTTCATGCTGTTAACTTAGTAGACATTTATCCAGCTTATGGCTAGGTTATAGTCGTATTAGTGCAATTTACCCCTTTATCTGGCCTTACTCACGCTGTGATTGGAAACAGGATGGAACATGCAAGTCTGTGTGGTCATGGCTGTTGCTCAGCTTCTCATATGGGCAATCTGGGCTGGTGTCTCTCATCATCCTTCGCGGTGGAAGCTGTGGTTTGTGGTCATAGCTGGTGGACTTGCAATGCTTTTGGAGATATATGATTTCCCACCTTACGAAGGATTTGTTGATGCACATGCTCTTTGGCATGCCAGCACCATTCCCCTCACCTACCTGTGGTGGAGCTTCATTAAGGATGATGCCGTATACCGAACTGCTGATCTTACAAAGAAGGTAAAGTGAGCAAATCTCTTATCAAACCATTAAGAATGTTGGCATGGCATTATTCAGGATCACGCGATTGATTCAATTGTGCCAGTTGATTCGAATGGTGCTACTGGTTTTCTGTTTATGGGGTTTGGTTGCAGATGTGAGATTCTTTAGTCAAGAAGGCTATAAATTTGAAGAGGCTCCTGATGTTAAATTAAGAAATTAGTTATGAAGGATGAGCTTTGAGCCTGTAATTTGCTAATACCAGATTTTAATTTATAGATTTCTCATTGGGATTAATGGTCTAACACTAAGTTCGCTAATCTTCCATTACTGAATTCACATACAGTTGTTTTTCAACATTTGTTCGACTTGGTGAAATACATTTTCAGCTACAGACTAATCTTTAACAACAATACTTCATCCATTTATCATTTCGATTGTTTACACTTAACTTTGACTGCGTTAGTACTAAAATATAAGAATAAGTGTCACATAATTGTTATGGGGTACTTCTTTTTAGTTTTCATACTTGGTGATTTTACTAAAGCCGCAGTGACGTGTGGGGTGGGGGGAGGGACGATGGTTGAATCAGCGGCACACATTAGGGTTCATTGAAAATTTTGTTATTCAACAGTATGCAGGTCATGAATGAAAAGATTCAAAAGAAACCCAGTAATTATATAGAAGTATATTTTAAAAAAATTAACACCCATACGATTGAAAGAAACATTCTGTGATCGTCGTAATATTGGTATGTATTGGTGTATCACAGTGAAAACTAGAGTATTACACTAGGACCTACAAAAGTTTAAATACAAATTGGGTACTATCAATTTGTACACAGAAAGGGCCAGTGCAGGTAACCAGTGGCCACTACCAAAATCAAAGCAATGACAGGACTATACGCGAGAATAAAGCCAGTCTTAGTAGCTAAGGGTTATACAGAGTTCTTTGCTATAATCGTTGAGGGAAGAATAATAATTAATGGACAAGATCACACATTAAGCATGTTGAGAATCCTTTGCTATACAAATGGGCAAGATTCATCAGTCCAAGGTCCATCAGCAACCATATGGGCAATGGGGATATTGAGCACAATCAACAGACATTAGACATCTTCGATACATCTGAAACTTGACTTGAAACCATCCGAATTCGATGTAGATTTCTGGGCTTGAAAAGTAGTAACTAGTAAGTGATAAAGGTGCACACAATATGTGCAGAATGCCTGTGTCATCGAATAGCTCCAAGCAAATTTGCAACCATCAAGCTTTGCACCATCCAAATCCTGATGTGAAAAAAAGAAAATATTACTTGATTTTGAATGATTTCTTGTATCAATGTGAGAAACCATGACACCCTATTTTATATACTTACAAAATAGATATTCAATCCAGACATTATACTGTACTCAAAAGAAATATTTGAAATTTAGCCAGGATAAATTTGACAAGAACTGTTGACCAAAAACAGGCCGTAGCTTTAATAACTGATTAAAAATACAAGATGCCTATCAAACACTCCTCGGTGATGCAACATACCCTTTGGTCTTAAATATGTGATGATAGATATAAATACGAAAACACCATTGTTCCTAATTTGTATACACAAAGCAACTTTTGCTTTCTCTTAAGCCAGACTGGAGTTTGTTAATGTTGACTTGTAAATACAATTCTACTAATAGTAGTGATAGAAAAGACACAACCAAGCTAAACTGGAAGTGATAAAATACTAAATTTACAAGGTTATGCACATACAGTATTCTCAATTATGTTGAAAGGAAAACTAGATAACACTCTACCAAGAAACGAGCATGGACAGGTCATAAAGTTGCTAACGCCCAAACTTTGGTTTGCACACTTTTTTTGGTTCGTACATGTTCATTGATATTCTATTGAATTCAAAAATTAAGCATATGCTTCATACTGGACACTTTTGTAAGTTAAAATTTTTCAAAGAACAAAATTGTGCAGTAGAGGCAGATGTTTGTAAAAGCAATATTTGGGTGAACTTACAGATGCGGGAGCATTAGAATTGATAGATGTGGAAATCACAGAAACGCCACATATCATGGTGGTGTGCACCACGGTGGTTTCCTAGGCTTTAGTGGAGGATGTTTGGGAGATCAACCCACAAGTTTGACCATCCCAAGCCTTAATTGTTCTATCTTTAATGCTTTACATAAGAAAAAGTTAGAGGATTCTTCATGTCAAAAAGCGAGGCCACGGGGAATTTCTTAATGAGTGCTCCAGCCGGAGAAATACTCTATGTCAAAAAGCGAGGCCACGGGGAATTTCTTAATGAGTGCTCCAGCCGGAGAAATACTCTATGTCAAAAAGCTATCCAAGGGGAATTTTCTCAAAGAGCATTCCTTAGAATTCACCGCTCAGGGATTTTTACCCGACAGCTCAAGGATCTGCAGTTTCAGTAGTCCAGGTTTGGCAAATACTTCAACCTGCCTGGATTCCCCAGTCCGGGGTGAGTCTACAGGGTAATTTTTCGGCCTTTCTTTTATACTTTAACTAGTTAATCCTGACTGTTCACTTGTAATCTAAGGGCTCTTGTTAGTAGTTACTAAGGGTGAACTAAAAAGTGTAAACCCACTCTATAAAATGGAAAGAAATATGTTGTGAGAACAATTTTTGCCTATCATCAATTTATGAAAATTTTCTCTCCTACTTGCATCTTTGCGAGCTTCAATCTTTGTGATTATTCAATCTTGACCATACTTTATGTGGGATACAATATTAAAAACCTTGATTTCATTTTAAGTTTATTTATTTATTTAATTAAGGTTTTATTTTTTGCTAGTTTTTTCATTGGTTCCACAAAAAACACCACCCACCCCCCTTTCCCCCAAAAAAGGTCATCTTGAAGTGGAAAAGTAGTGAATATTGAAAGTTGTAGTGAAAAATATGCATCACTTACGGTTTCCCGAAGATCAACAAGTCGTAAATAAGCTCGCTGAAGATTTGCTCCTTTTAGATTAGCATTGGTCAACTTTGCCCCCTGAAAAACATTGCAAGTCATTTATTACGCCTGCTTTGTTGCAGTCTCATCTGTCATCTCTGATTAGTGTGACTTTATCATGTCATTTATTGCTCCAAATTTCAAGGTTTTTTTGACATAGACTGTTTTGATGCACAGCAGAGAAGCTAAAATCAACTAAAAGCTTACCTTCAAGTTGGCCCCTTCCAAATTAGCTCCTTCTAAGTTGGTATTGGTAAGATCTGCACTCTGGCAAGTAAAGGTAGTCAATTAAACATCGTCATAACTTGCATCTTAAATCAAGCTCAGCTCACATACAGAAATTTAAAAAAAAACTTTAACATGCAGGTAAATCAAGCAATTACAAAATGCAAGCAGACAGCTTCATTTCGGGCAAAGTATATAAAATTTCAATCATACAATATGATAATTCAACTTAAGTCTCTATTTGAAATTACATCAGCTGAAGTTAGCAAGGGCTAGCTAGAAGCTAGTAATGGTTAATCTAATCTGGTGCACTAAAAAGTGTTAGGCAAATTAAGCTGTTGAATGAACTAGTTTGTCAATATGTCCTAAGTCTTAACTAATACGAACTAGTCAAACTCCGCAGATCAAGTCACACTACCCTTATTAAATAGTGAATAAGATTATAAAAATAACCTCTGGTCCAAACTTTTAGGAATCCACGGTTTAACAGTAAGATTTCCACCGTTCACATGCAAATCTCAACTTCAATAAAACAGTTTAATACCCAAATTGTGATCTATAATAGGTCAAATTCACACTTCACAACTAAACTTCCCCTTACCCAGTACATTCATCGTAGTCCACAGACAAACCATCAGAACCACACATCCTAATGGAAATCTCTAAACCATAATTTAACTTTTAATGAGAAAATACACATTAATAATGATCAAAATCAAACAGGAAAATTGACAACAAATTTCTTTAAATTGTTGCTCTGAGCCGAAGTAGTTTATTTGATTTAAAAATTTGTAAAAAATAGAAACCTGTAAAAGTAAATGATACAGATGTTTATTTGATTCGGATGCATTTTCCAACAAAGACTAGTATAGCATCTTGATTTTCCTATCAGCTCTCAACTTCTCATCTCGATTGTCTGATAATTCAGATCCAACAGCCCAAATTGGTTTGTAGTACTCATTATATATGTATGTATGTATTTTTCATAATTTATATTTTATACTAAAATGATTAACTTTAGACCCTGAACATTTGGCAATTGTTAAACCATTAGTATTATGTAATTCATACAGACAAGCAGTTCCCATTCGATTATATTATTCAATTTCATACTCTTCTACAGTTTGAATAACGTGTTCTCCAAAAGTGATTCTACAATCTAGTAGGAAAGAGGATGGTAAAAGTAGCTGAAGGACTAACTAGCAGGCACTAAATATCCAGAAGTTCTAAGGACTCATCTAACAATCAGTGGAAAATGCTTAAGTGCTTAACAAAATGATACGAGCTCATGAGCCAGTGATCTCCTTATATGGATGTACAACTACTGGAAAGAGCGATAGTAAGAAATGCAAAAGGGCATTATCAGTATATCATGGAAAAATCACATCATAAGCTTTGATTTTTAGGAATAAGATCATTACACCAGAAAATGAAGGATTACATAAAGAGGCAAAACCACCAAGCTCAAGCAAAAAGATAATAGAGCTTTGATCTTGCCATACATCAAATACTCTCCGGGAAATGCTCAAGAGCAAACACATAATTAAATGAAGAATCACTACCTACAAATACTCTCCGGTGACCTTCCGTCACTATTGGAGGATGGTAGCCTAAAGCTACCGATCACTACCTAAGAGATTTGCAGCATAATGTTGCTAGTTTAAGAAGCTTTAATCTTTGTAAGTGAAGAATCGATTCTCAATATTCATTTTTCCAGTTATTTTGACTTAGCAAATTAGTAGCAATCTGAATCCATTACAAGATACTTGGAAGTGTACAAGAATTAAGATTTAATGATAAGAAGCAAACCTGCAAGTGAGCAGAACGCAGATCTGCTCCACAGAAACTACAGTCCATCAAACAGGCATCTGCAAGTAATGAAAAGGTTTGGTAAATTCGAAATGCATATCCTAAAATTATATCCACGGTAAAAAGACAAGTTCATACATTTTTAAGCAATCATGCTTTGGTATGCTCTACAGGCATGAGAACACGATTCACTATCTAATTTTGTTAAACTAATCTGATAGTGTACCAATGTACCAGGTCCCAATTTGCATGTTTTGGTTCGTGATTCCAGGTTAATTAGAGAATATAGCAACATTCATTAGGGTCATAATATATAAGTATAGTATCACTAGGTACTACATTTGGTTTAGAGTTTTGAATTTGGTGTTACATAATTATATTGCATTGT